ACATTCATACACACATACGTATACTTACATATGTGTGTATATATATATATATACACACACCTGCACGTGTGTATTTTCAAATGTTGTACTTCAAATTCTCCCCAGTACCTCCTCTCTCCACCTTTGAGAGAAGCTATGTGAAAGCTGGCGGGCAGCCCCACTCCCCCAGCCCTGGGGCTTGCTGTGGTGTTGCAGGAAAGTTCCACCTGGGCTCCCACAGTATGGGGGATGACAGTGAGAGAGAAATCTCCATTTGAGAATCTGTTTTTCCTGGTCACACCAAATGGTGCTGTTCCTGAGTATTACCTGGTTCAGTCACTGGATTTTCATTCACCCTCCACACAAAAATTATTTTGCAATCTGCCAGCTATTTCCCAGAGCTTTAGAATGCCCTTTAAATATACTGCATGGCTGGCACCGCTTTGCCCAAAACAAACATACACCTTGGGCTTGTGGACTATATTTCTTTCAGGGTTTTCTAGCTGCCATCACCTATTGATATTATTTGATTTGCAGCTGCTCTTCAAAGCAAACAAACAAAATCTCACAGCTTCTTAAACCTTCCTCCCCATAAGCCACTGATATTTACTGGGAGCAAGAGTGACAGGTAGAGCTCAGTCACACCCGCATCCACCTGCCTTTAGAAATAAAAGGAAAGGTTTAGTGAATTATTTCCTTCAAGTTTTCAGCCTGCCACTCCAATTCTCCTGGCATCCCTCCCTGACATGTCTGATCCTTCCTCCCATGGCCACGAGCACCAGCTGGGATGGATGGACCCTCAGCAAATGCCTGGGGGTCCCCGCAGCAGCATCTTTTCCACCAGTGCCTCTGCCCAAGAAGTTCACGGCTGGCTTGGCTCCTTGCAGACCATCCAGCCACCAACCTGCTTGAAATAACCTCCAGCCAATGGATGTTTAAAGTGTTAAATGTGTGGGTCTGTGCTGGGGGCATCTGAGTAATGCCCTAAAATCACCTTTCTAGATTCTTGTTTGGCTGGTCCCTTGTACAGCCCTGTGGAGCTTCAGTCCCACCCACTTGCTTCAGCATAATATTAAGCAACCCACTAAAAAGGGACTTCTGGGATGCTGTCCCCAGGATCTACTGACATGCACATCTTCCTCCAGCCATGGTCACATAAATATTTCCTTTAGCTGAGAGCCAAACCCCAGGTCCACCACAACAGTATTTCAGCATGAAACACCAGTTCAGATAGCGGCTTTCTGCTCATGTTCCATCAGATATTTCTGGATGTTGCTGCCTTCTGCAGGAGGCTTTCCTCTTCCCGGTGAGCCCCCAGGCTGCCCCTCGTTTCATTTGCACATAACCACTTCCCGCACATCATCGTCAGGTGAATCTCGACCTGCAGGCATTAACGGCTTTCAATGGGGACAGATTTTTCCCCACAGGACGTGCTCTATCATGCCATCAGTTTATTCCAATGCCATTTTCACTGAGCAGCTGCAACAGGTATTGTTATTTGTTTGCTTTTTGCATCAAAAAGGAGCCACTCAGTGTCTCTCTGCAGCAAGTTGCTGCCACAAAATTGTCAGGTTTTAAAAAAAATGCTTTAAGTCTAATGAAGCAGACAAATCCTTATGTCTTAGCAATGGCTCCTTGCCTATATTGAAAGAGACAGTGGTTCAAGAAAAAGCTCTTTGCAGGAGACTAAAGCACCAGCTACTGTACAACATTTAATCCCAACAACACGCTGGACCGAGAGCAACAAAATCTCATTGCACACCTTAATTTCTTCCTGAAGGAAATCTAAATGATCGTAACGATGATGAGCACTCAGCTCCCTGAAAAGCCAGCATTTTTTCCATAAGCCCTTTTAAAGCAATTGTAGGAATAGAGCTGGGCGATTAAATTAAATGTATAGGTTTCTCCTATGTAAAGAAATAAATATTTCCTTTTAAAGGCAATCTAGCCTGCATACCACAGAGTAACAGCAATTCCGTATAAGACATCGATGTGGACTTTTATTGTTCCCCACGACAGGGGGGACAGTTGTGATATTGAGCACTTCATCACTGTACACAGGCTTTGACATCTGCATCTGACTTTGTCATGAATTAAAAATGAAGAGGAAGGCTTCATCTGATTAGAGTGTAGCTGCAGTCACTGTAAGGTACAGGCGGGCATCCCTCAGGTGAACAACCAACACGGCTCAGCTGTGTCTTCTCGGGTTTTTTTTAAATAGCATATTCATAATACAGTCTGATTACAGTGATGCCTTTATTTATTTATTTCTGCAGGAAAAGCAGTAGTAATTAACTTGTACCATGACCTGCAATTTACATGTTAAAGTTTAGAATGATTCTGTCATAAGGCCATAATAAGCACCATTTTACAAGGGAAACTTGATAATTGAGGGATTGTTTTGCTCATGGCTTGCTGCAAAACCTGGTCAAGCTTTTGCTCGTGCTCCCTCCTGCACCGCCATCGACTCTGGTGTGGTTCGGTCTGATCTGCATCAGGGTGAGAACAAAATCCGTCAGTCAGGCTCCAAGGGAGCTGACAGCAGATCAATTTGCCTTCCTGCCTCCTCGATGACAGCCTGCAAGCATAACTAAACGCACTCACAGGCACATAAACATACTCTGACATTTAATACAGAATAAAATACACCTTTAGAAGTGGTGGCTGCTTGAGCCAGGGCTTCACATATATGCTTTTTAGGGCGTGAACACGTGGCATTTGTCCCAAATACTGTTACCTCTCATGGACGAACATCCCTCTCCTTACTGACCACGCATGCCTCCCTTGTGGCTCCTCCGAGTCCCTCCCTGCCCTTTGCAAGTCCCATCCTCAGCATTCAGCTGATCTAATGTTAATACATGAAACAGCATTTTCTAAACTTCTGCAAACAAAACTATGCAAGGGATGAAAAATAATTAGCTGTGTCTCAGTGTCTAATATATTTGCATTGTTTAGACAGAGCAGTTAATCATTAGTAAGACCACAACACATTGTGAGAATTTGGATTATAACTAATACACATTGAGTAGAAGGTTATTAATTACATCCAAAGGGAGTATTTGATATTATTATTATTGAGAAACTGAATGCTATTAATTATATTACAATGCTCTGGCAGGATTCCTGTGGTATTACTGTGCAAAGAACCATTTACTTCTAGATTCTTTTGTCTTTTGTTCAGAAAGGAGCTACTTCAGGCAAGCAAAAGGCACCACGTTTCAAAGTCCTGTTCCCATTTACATTCCTGAAGCACTGAGTGATGTTGAAGGGGTCAGTGAGGGTCTGCATTTTTTAACTTTTTTTAAATATAGGGTAAACTTTTCATTTGGGTAAAATAGTTGGTCTGCTGAAATGTCACTTTTTCCCTTGGGTTGGGAATTGGCAAAGGACAGTCTCCATGCGGTCCCCACCGCTGGGCCCAAATCCCTAGAAAGAACATCTGAGAGAGGGAATGGAATCCCAGGTTTAATTAGAGGTGCAGCATTTCCAAGTGTTCCCTCTCTAAATGGCTCTTACCTGTAGAAAAGAAAAGCTTAGGGCACTCCTTTATTATTTGAAAAGGCAATTGTATTAATTCAGCTGAATTTTGCATGGGAATTGCACTATCGAATTGACAGTTTAGTTCCCCGAAAATTGCAATAAAGGCTCTGTTACGCTACATTTTGTCCCCATTTGTCTTGTATACCATCGCCTTGCCTTTGGCACAATAAAAATAATCTTAAAAAATAGTACCGTAAATGGATTGACTTTGACCTTCTGAGTATCTTGTCAATAAAATAAAAATGATAAATCTGTTTCAGAGTGCCACTGGTGTAATATTAAAGCAGAGTCATAATCCAAAAAGTGACATTTGAAAAAATGGTATTATGGGGAGGGGTCTTACTCTCTGTCAACGGTGTCACATGTATAAGCCCTATTTACAGTGCAAAAAGGTGATTTTTGCTAATTGCCCGGCTCCCTCCTGAAACCAGGTTGTGCAATTCCTGCGATGTTCTCTCTGCCTCTTACATCATCATTAGCAATTAAAGATTACTGCAGCAAGAAATTAGCTGCGCCTTCTATTGCCGATGCATAAAGCAGAAAGGCTCCACCTCGGTCCCCTGCTGTGACCCACTCTGCAGCGCCAACACAGCGAAAATGGACTTTGCCTCATAGAGGAATGGCTAAAATAACCAAGGAAAGGCCCTTTTATCTACATAATCAGCTTTTTGAAAATAAACAACTTCTAAAAGAATCCCTTCAAGGCTTCTTTTTTTTTTTTTAGGTGGTAAGAAAGTACTGAATTTTCTGAAAAAAAAAATTAAGAGATATATGAATATAAACAGGGCAGGCGTGGAAACAAACATAGGTCGTGTGGCAGCAGTTTTGATTCAAATTTTGCGATGTGCGCACAGAAGCTCTGATGTATTTGGCTTTATGAGTACATGCCTCAAGCAAGTCTGACCTGTGGTTTGAGTATTTGTCAGCCTAACTTGAGCTTATTTCTAAAAACCCTGTACTATTGTTTTTTCACCATTTCTTTTTCCCTTTTAACATTTCTTGTTTTCATTATTCTCAATATGCATCTTAAAGTATGTAAAGTGCACTTTATACTTGAGCATCAATTTACATTGGGATTAAAATGCTCATGCATATCGTAAATTAAATTTAAAACCCACATATTTTCAAAGTTCATGAGGCTTTGGAACCTCAAAATATTGCTTGATTTCTGAGAAGGAACAATTCAGATGTCAATCCCTAAAACTAGACTGAGATGAAATTAAAAGGTTAAGGTTTCTGGTTCTGATTCAAATATGATGAAAAACTAGATAACTTAAATCATTGTGTTACCAAGCTTCCAATTTTATATATTTAATTCCAAATTTGATCTTTTCCCAGTGTTCGCCTTGAAAATTAGCCCAATCCTAAACGGAATCTGAACACAAGAGGATGTATCGCCCCTTGAAGTGGTTATGAACAGTATCCAACTGAATTTTCTTGAGTTAACTTACTCAATCTTTGTCCTTTTTCACCCTTTCCAGCTCCCGAGTGCTTGCCGGAGGGACACCGTGTCCTCCGCAATCCTTACCGCAGCACCAGCTTTGACTCACTGGAGCTGCAGCGAACAGCAACTCAGGACCTGGTTTGTGACCACTCCTTGCCACCAGCATGGTACCGTTTCATGATCGGCAACAGGCCTGCAGAAATGCCAACAAGATGTGTCGAAGTCAGTAAACCTTAAGCACTAACCATGGTGAACTTGAATAAATCCTTTGATGTAGTTTTCCTTTCCAGACACCTCTATACCCTCATAGCCAGTAGACTGCAGTGGGGATAGGTGAGTGGTAATGGGAAAATGACTTTAATAATAATAGTATTGTCATGTGCAAGGGCAGCAGTCAGAGACCAGGATCCCTATGGACTGGGCATTATTCAAACATAAAGGAAGGTGTTCTTCAACTCTAAAGAGAGAACCTTAGTAATCCACATATGTCACTTAAGTTATAATCTTTTCAAGCAGTTTTATTGGTTTAAGAACATATTCTAGAACCTGATTTTATCCCTATATAACTTATTGTGAATTAGGAATATGTTCTTATTATGAAATCAGAAGGGAAAAATCAGAAAAACTGATATTAAAAGAGATTCTTTAGTGATACGGAAGGAAAAGCTAAATTTGAGTCTTTTTCCACTATTACCATTTCATATATTATTTAGTTGCATGAGTATACTAATGGCTTTCTAGGGCATAAAAGCTCCACCGCATAAGAGTACTCTCTGAAAGAGACAAAACAATAATTACCTGATTTTATGTGTGTTTAATATGTATGGCAATGACGTTTAACTTGCAATCACTGCTGCCAGAGCAACTTGAGACTCTATCTAAAGTCTTTGTCATCTCAAATAGCCTAGCTGCAGGAGGTTAGAATAATTTCAAACATACTGTTAAACAAAATTATTCAGAAAATAATAATCTAATTAACATAAATTACTTTAAAGATGAAATATTCAACTTAGAGTGCCAGGAAGTTTATATTGGGTGATGCTACTCTACCTGGAGGACCTTCTCAAAATTAGCAAACAACTTTTCATATCCACTCAAAATGGACCTGTGAACATGTCACAATTGAAGTATATCTTAATAATCTAATGTTAAATTAAATGTTAAGTGATAATTATTACTTCTGTGGGATTTCTAACTCTGCATACACAAACCATAAATCTAATTAACGTGAACAAATTGCATGACTATTATTGAAATATTCATTTCCTGACAGGTCATCCTTGAATATCCCAATGCATTATGAAGTTTATTTTTACAAGTTACTCTATCAGTGTGTATATTTTCTATGAAATTATTTGATTTGTCATTGTATTTCAACAATTTCGAGTATGTACTAATGCTCGACTGTATGAGATTTCTTTCCAACAATGCATGCTTTGTTTCTTTTAATCTCTTCTGTGGCGCTTTTTATTCAGGTTTGTAGAGCTATATTCATTAATTTAGTTTCTTATCTTGCAACATAATTCTTGCCGTTGGTTTCTTCATTATCCTCTGAATGACAGTAAATCTCTGCTTCACCATGCTGATGAAGGATTACATCTGTTAGATGTCACAACTGGAAGAATGCGCTTCTTTTAGATCTTCACCTTCTAAATCTGCCTCTACGTTCTATCTCTTCCACTTAATTAAATCATTGTTTAATTTGGTTTTCCATTTAATTTGAGCAAAAACCTCTGGAATAAAATAATTTAAATTAATAACTGCACAGCTTCCACTCCTTAATAAGCAGCTATTATTGGATATTCCAGCCTGGCCGGAGTGAGCTGATTTTAATTAAACAAGTCAAAGACAAAATCCTGAACAGACAGAAGAGAAAAGAGACCAAATAAAGCCTGACAGTACAGCTGGAGAATTAAAAAGTACATTACTCCAGCACGTTGTAAAATATGCGCCTGGTGATATCCTGTTGATACTGGCTGGATACAATTAGCTGCTTATCGATGGGCAAGATTAACTTCTTAATTCAAAGCAATAGTAGGTAAGGATTCTTGTCACCCAATTGAGCTCAAAAGGGATTTAAACCATAATAGAGATTTAGAGGTCTTGCTCAGCTTGGGAGAGAATTGCGGCAGGACAAAAGGCACGTGCTTGGTGGGCACATGGGAGGTGAGCTCCCACAATCGACTGGTGCCTGGGCAGCGGTAGCTGACGCCTTCAGACATGCTCTCAAAGCCTGAATTCTGGATCTTGCCACAAAAAAAAAGCTCCATAATAAAAATGTGGATAGTTTCTCAACCATAGAAAGGATTATGTTCAACAGAGAGGAGAACCGAGTCACATACAGAAGTCAGGAGAGCCTCGGTCTACAGCCGTGTCGCTGCTAAGATCCACAGCAACCTTTGTAATGAAAAACAAGTAACAGCTCTTAAGAAGCTGCTTCTGATCTACTAATTTAACAAACAAACGAAAAACAAAGGGAAAAAGACAGAATAAAAACCCAAAAGTTTTTACGTCAAAGAGAGTGAAAATATGAATTGTATTCCTGAATTTTCCATCCCTTGAATCCAACTGTCCATAAACTTATTCCTCCAGTGGCAAAATACTTTTGATTGAAACAGCTTTCTAATTTAGTCTTTGCCTGCTGAATTTCTCTGGGGGCTATAAATGATCCTGACCTTCCTCCCTCTATTTCTTCCTCGTCTCTCCTCCTGTGCTCCCGAAGGAGGCACAGCAATTACCGGATCCTGGGCATGCACTCCTGGCCACAGCCACTTCCCCATCCAGAACCAAATCCTAGCAGAAAAGCAACACGAAGTTGCAAATTTTGTATCCCCAGGTATTGAGGCTGCTGCCTACAGATCACAAACAACAGCTTGCTCTTCAAGAGCTGCCAAATTCACTGTGAAAGGCAAAAGCACTGAAGGAAGAAAGCACAGGGAAGCTTTTACTAAGATTAAGGCACTGTACTAAGGAGTGAGAAACAATACACAGACATGGCCAGACCTAGTAGTAAAATGACCTTCAGGGGAAGAGCAAAAGTGACGTAAAAATTAAGGCTCAACAGAAAACCTATTAAAAATACAGGGAAAAGTTTAACAGTCAGTATAGGAAAAACACTCTTCAGCTACAGAAATTCAGGCTTCTGAATTGAAATAGTAAGGGGTATACATCCGTCTGCATGCATCTGTGGACAAGTCCCACGAAAGGAATGAATACTAAAATGAAATGTGAGAGAGCACAACCCGCTAATGTTATCGATACAGTCTGTGGATACAGAAGAGCAGCACATGCTGCTAACCCTAACGCAAATCCAAACGCCACGCCATGCCAATGACAGGCAGGCCTTGCAACGCTGGCTTACGCCTCACGATGAAGCCAGAAATGTGGCTGGAAATGCACTTCTTCCCCTCATTTACATGGAGGTGAAAATCATAGATTATACTCTGCAACCTTAAGGAAAAACATCAATTAAGAATTTGATTATGCAAATAGTAATTGGTTCTGGAGCCAGCAATAATACTCTTGATACCACATGCATGAGTCGGCTTCATTACTTCTCAAAGCAATGCTAGTATTTCCCAGCTTTGAGTAGTCAACAGCAAACAGCAAACAATACGCACAAAAGAAAGGATTTAAAACCAGAATTGCTACTAGAACAACTGTCACTATCAAACACTTGTCCTCTGAAACAAAGGATTCGTGGTACCATATTCCTCAGGCAGAGAGATTAAAATGGATGTTAATGCACTGAGCACAAAAATCACGGCCCACCCACTGCTGAGGTGAGACATTGGTCTCCAGATCTTCTGAAATGTCAGAGTACCTCATCAGCCAGCAGCTCTCCCACCACACCCATCAATACAGATGGCCCGGATGATGTTTCAGCATCCACATATGTATGCACACAGAATTATGCATACTACCAGGACTGACAGGCACATACCAGGTGTGTACCCGTACATTTACACAGATACACCCCCTCTCACACACACATAAGCGTATATGTGCACAGCACCGCATCCCGTCAGCTGAAGTTCAACCTCTCAGAGCTTCACTCTTGGTTTCCTCCCAGTCTTAAGGCAACCCCTCACTTGGGTTCACTGTATTTTCTGCAGCCCTGTTGTCATGCACAGCAGGAGCCTCCAAATGACCTTGTGCACCACAGTGGAGATCCGCCAGCCCCAGGTGTTCGTCCCTGTGGGCAGCCGAATGTGGTTGTGTGGAGGGAAGGGCAGGAGCAGGGCAATGGTTTCAGCTTTGCACGTTACCAGTCTCCAGCAAGCCCTGGTTCCGGGGCTTCTGGAGTCAGGCATGGGTTGTGGGAGGCTTTAAAGGGATTTCTCTCCCGTGAGCCAGCCCAGTCACTGTAATTTTTTTTAGCATTCACAATCCTGCAGCAAGGATTTCTACAGGTTAGTTATGGATATGACACTTTGGTTTGGAAATCCCGAATAATATTACCTGCCTCTGACTGCCAATAACCCCCTATAGAAATTTAATTCTCTAAATGAGCAAAACCGTCTCCAAATTTGCTCTAAATTCATGCACAACTGTAAATGTGGCATAAGAACAACATATTATGCAGTCAGGGCTGATGTTTTCTCAACAGTTGCATTTTTTAAAATATAGTATTTTATCTATACATCTAGTAGGCTCAAACATAGGCTTAAATGCTAATCTTTGGTGTATGAAACAAGGTCATATTAAAGCGCGTCAAATCTAACCTGCCGAAGGTGCTTAATATTGTAGCCCCTGGAGAAGAAGATGATTTACTTTTTCTCATGCTTAGTTTAATTTCCTCCTCTACACAAACCTGTTGTAGAACATTTTATACTCACAATCAAAATACAATAACTCAACTGGATACAGTTATTTTAAAATTTTTGTTTCAATTTTTATTTTGCTCTGAATCCAATCCTAACTTGATTGCAATTGCTTTATGACCTCAAAAGCAAGTGAAACTTTCAAGGTAATATTTCTTGTTTTCACCCCTAATTCTCTTTCTCACATGTATACATGAATACTCTAAGATCATAATGGTAGGTATGAAGAGGTTTTGTTTTTCTTATTTGTTTTTCAGGCATACAAAAAGCCTTCTGTAGAAATTACAATTACATCTCTATTGTTCAGAAGCATGTACTTAAAACAAACACAAGACAGGCACAGGTTTAATTGCTACTACAGATATTCTTGACGTAAACTGATTTCTGTGGAGTTTGGTC